GGAAAAAAATGGAACCCCAGTTGAAAAGATTGTTCCTTTTTCAGTTACAAGTTTCAAGAAAAGAAAAAGATTGTTTTTTTTTGTTTTTTCAAGATTATTTGCTGGGATTACACTTGGTATGTTGTTGTTGTGAGATTTTTGTTAGAGTATGTGGATGTTATAATGTTTCTTGCTTTTACTAAATGTTACTCTTTTTTTTGATGTCATTAGCTTTTACTGCACAGCTTTATTGTGGATCAATAAGAATCTGGAAATGTGTGGTTGTTGTTATACTGCTGATTAATGGTGTTGTTTCCTTGTTTTGAGACAATTTTTGTGATTTTTTGATTGTTTGAGTTGTTGTATTTTGTAGGATTTGTTGATTGAACTATGAGCTGCTTCAGTTGTTGTGATGATGATGATATGCACAGAGCTGCTGATAATGGGCCATTCATGGCACACAATTCAGCAGGTTAGTTTCCTCCTTATACCGGGAATCTCTTTCGATTGTTTTCTTTCTGTTTTCTGGGGAATGGATCCAAATAGAAGATTGATATAGCTAAACAAACTAGTTTGTGGTTGAGGCATAACAGTAGTAGTTGTTGTTAGTTTTGGGTAAGGGAAAGGTTAGGGGAGTGGATTTAATTTCAGGACTTCATAGGCTTATGGTGAATACTTGAGCATTCTGGGTATCTATTTTGATTCTTTTTTTTGTTTTCCGGGGAATGGATCCAAATAGAGCGGAATGAATATAGATGATTGATATAGCTAAACAAACTGGTTTATGGTTGAGGCATAGTAGTAGTTGTTGTTAGTTAGTTTTTGGGTAAGGGAAAGGTTAGGGAAGTGGAATTTGATTTCAGGACTATTAGGCTTATGGTGACTACTTGAGCATTCCGAATGGATTTTGTTGTTGAAATGGAAGAAGTTCATGGAACTCCTAACTAGGGTATCAGTAAATTGGAAGCTCAAACATTTATTGTGCTTGTATTTGATGTTTTCGTGGTCAGTTCCGGTTGAAGCCTTGTAAATTGATAAATGATCGAGTAAAAAGTTCAAGTCTTTCGTTGATTGCTTTGGGTTTTACCTATCATTTTAGACTCTTTTCTTCATCTAATGTCATGCTTTTGTTCATGGAACTTTTGTTTACTCCATAATTTTTTGTTTCAATCCTACCTAACTGGAGAACTTTTTTATAGGCAACAATGGAGGTCAGCATGCCACAGAAAGTGCACAAAGAGAGACGCAGACTGTGAATATCCAGCCCATTGCTGTTCCTTCCATCGCTGTTGATGAGTTAAAGGATATCACTGACAACTTTGGTTCAAAAGCATTGATAGGCGAAGGATCATATGGAAGGGTATACCATGGTGTCTTGAAAAGTGGACGTGCTGCAGCCATTAAAAAATTAGACTCAAGTAAGCAGCCTGATCGAGAATTTTTAGCTCAGGTTAGCTCCACCCTATTATCTTTCATTTGACTATGTTATATTGCACATAACCTTTGTAACCTTGCTGGATATGATGCATGCAATTGCAGGTCTCAATGGTCTCAAGACTAAAAGATGATAATGTGGTTGAATTACTCGGTTATTGTGTGGATGGCGGTTTTCGTGTGCTAGCCTATGAGTATGCCCCGAATGGATCTCTTCATGACATCCTTCATGGTATGTGAACTATGCTATTGTCCATACTGGAACCAAATCTTAATCTTATCCTTCTCATTAGTACTAAAACCTGTTGAGTCATCCATAATTCTTTGTGCATTTGGTTCCTCAAGCCATGATGAGTCAATTTTTAGCAAATTAAAAGAACCTGTCTCCGCAGCTTGTGTTTGGAAATTATTGTTATTCTATCCAACTATGTCAAAGTACATTTCAGACTCCACTTTAAGAAGTTCATTAATGCACCATGCAGTGAATCCCCCCTTAACTAGTGGTCAACACTGCTTCATCCCAAATTCTGAAGGTCCTTTCTAATGCATTCTCTGACATGCAAAATGCCATAACTAAGAGTTAGTTTGCACCTAGATATCTCCATATGACCTTGCTTATTAAGAACCCATCAAATTCTTTTTCTTCTTTTCGCTTTTTGTTGTATATAATTCCCATTGTAAAATATGCCCCATCTCAATTCTCATTTAACATGGTTTGAATAAACACTCAAAATTAAGAAATTAGTTAGATTTCATATTCTGTTGATGATAATATAAAAAAAAGTATTTGAAGTTGTTAAGAGGAAAAGTATGTGTAATTGCTTTAAATTCAACTGGTAAATCGGATTGATCAAAGTCCAAAAGTTGTATAGAATGCTATGACTTGTAGATTTGTGTTATACATTGGGGCCTCACAGAATGGAATGTATATGCTAAGTTAGGATAGAAGTATACAAGGTACCTAAAGTTAGAATATTACACCACAAGGTATGTATTCCAATGATAATGCACACAAAAAATCCCATAAGGGACTTTGATCCCTGATTTCATTTATAGACGGTGATGTTGCTGTTATGGAAAGGGAAAAATTTATTTATTAGCAATTTAGCATGTTGTATGTCAGTTGAACATTCAGTGAACCAGGATTTTATTTAGGTCCTTATCCATTTCATCTGTATTTTGCTATTTCTGGTATCTTTATGGATGTCTATTTTCGTCTGTATGTATGGCCAATTTGATAGAAGAGAATTGGAACTTCCCGTTGATATTTATTTTTTCTGTGCATGGCCAATCATGCTTTCTTTACAAGCTTTTTTAACAACTCTTGATGGTGGTAGTCTCAGCAAGTAGATGTGTTAATGTGTATCATGGCTACTGCTAAAACATCGTTATGGGTGTGTATCATGAGGATGGATAAAGATAATGTCAATCTTAAGAGTGCTTGGACTGGGAATTATACTTTTGGGTGCTCTCTTCAGTTTTTCTGTAATATATTTTGTTATTTGCAGCAAAATGCATAATTTTCCAGTTTGTGATTGTAGGAAGAAAAGGTGTGAAAGGTGCACAGCCAGGTCCAGTATTGTCATGGGCTCAACGAGTTAAAATTGCGGTTGGGGCTGCAAAAGGACTGGAGTACTTGCATGAAAAAGCGCAGCCTCATATCATTCATCGTGATATTAAGTCTAGCAACATTTTACTCTTTGATGACGATGTTGCTAAAATCGCAGATTTTGATTTATCAAATCAAGCCCCTGATATGGCAGCACGTCTTCATTCCACCCGTGTTCTTGGGACCTTTGGTTATCATGCACCAGAGTGAGTCCCTTTCTGAATGTATAATACAAATAAGCACATGCTTGGCTAACATTTTCTTAGCTGATCTTCCCAATGACTGATCTAATATTCAACTGAAAGTAATGTTAGGCTTTCATACCCGATTATAGTTCACTTTTATTCTGATGACCTACCCCATCATCACTTTTGAGTTGCAGATATGCAATGACTGGTCAGTTGAGTTCAAAGAGTGATGTTTATAGCTTTGGTGTTGTGCTCCTGGAACTACTTACTGGCCGTAAACCTGTTGATCATACTTTGCCACGTGGGCAACAGAGTCTTGTAACTTGGGTATAGCCTTCTAGATTCTCAAATGCTTTATCTAATTCACCATTATCGGATAATTCTCTTGATTTGTAATCAATGTTATTCACTGTTGTAAACAGGCAACGCCACGACTTAGTGAAGATAAAGTGAAGCAATGTGTTGATGCTAGATTAAATACAGATTACCCTCCGAAGGCAATTGCAAAGGTACGTGCACTCAAAACGAATAATTTTCTTGCCTACTGAAATAAGATTCCTGTCTCGTCCCCTCAAGTATGTTAATTTGTAGCCAAAAAGACGTCTGAATAAGTGTAAAGATCAAATGTTTCATTATATTCAATCATTTCCGCTTGATTTTCATCAGCTCCATTTTCTTACATCTGCCATGCTGAAACAGATGGCTGCAGTTGCTGCCTTGTGTGTGCAATATGAAGCCGACTTCCGGCCAAACATGAGCATTGTTGTAAAGGCTCTTCAGCCTCTGTTGCCTCGACCTGTACCAAGTTAAACATCAAGCTTGTGAATTTTCTCCTTACCCCTGCCTTTACGTCATGAAATGAGAAAGATTGATTTTGACATTGACATTGGTACGAGTCACAAGAGGATCGTGAATTCGTGATACTGGTGCTCACCTGGACAACTACTCCACAACAATGTCACCTCCACCTCCCTTTTTTTTCTTCCTGTCGATTGAATGCCAAAGAAATTGTATATTCACTGTAATGGAAATTACTTTGCATATTGATTTTCATGGATTTGTGTTGAGATTTTGAAATTCTACCAAGCCACAGTTATATTAGTAGATTGTAAAAGTTGTAGCTTTTGTTGTTACTGCTTTCATTTCCATATTCCCTTTTTCAAATTGTAGCTTTTGTATCAAAAACATCTAGGGGTAAGGATTGTGTACACTCTACCCTCCCTTGATCCCACCGTTGTAGTTTGGCTTTGGCCTACAATGGGTTCCTCTTGAACTGCATTTCATTTCTTGGAAAGTCTATTGATGCTGAGATTATACTTACCATCCAACTTGCAATGATGTTTGGTATGAAAAGGCCACAAAGTTTGCAGGAATATTTTACCATTGGCAAGAAGAAAGGTAACAACATTTATGAAATAGGAAAAGTTTCATTGTCATCCCACAAGTTTTTGTTTAGTGGAAAGAGTTCAACTCGTCTGTTGAAAACAACCTCCCTACCTCCACAAAGAGGGATTTCACTGGGTATGTTGTTGGAAAGAGTGTTACATGTGATGTGCAGATTAGACACACGACACACTTTTAAACTCTTTCGCGAACAAAAGCCTTGTATTTAAGCCAAGAAAGGTAGAGGAACAAATCCATTGTTTATCGAGTTTCGAACCATGCACCAGTACATTTTCCATAAGCATTGTTTCTTTTGCAACAATTCTTGAACATTCATCAAGTGCTGAAGTTATTACAGCCCAAGAAAATAGAACAAAAACTAATGGTTTTCTTCGTAAACAATCACAAAATGAAACCTTTTACATCTCTTTTGCTAAAAGGGCATGTCAAGTTGTCAACTATCTATACATTACCCATATCTGTAAAGAACACAGAGTCAAAAATGAGGAATTTTTATATACTAACTCAATGACTCTGACTTTCATACACACAAAAAATGATTATCTCAAACATCTATTAGCATACTATAAGAAATACCAAATGGAAGAAACTATAGATATGTATTTATATATGGCTCTTTTTTGTGCCATTTCAATCATTTCAGCTCACTGTAACTTTTGTAGTTCAAGTTTATGCATTTGTTCGATGATCACTTCTAGTTTTCGTCATCAAAATTGGTCTATCACTGCTATCTGTAGATTTCCGATTATGAGATTCTGTGTCTACAGCACCTGCCTGATTCTTTCTCCGTCTCCGTCCCTAGAAGACCAACAAGTTAAGATTATACACAACTTTCCAACCAAATAACTAAGAAAATCTTTGGTTAGTATATCACCTCTCGTAGTATAGGATATTCCTCAGATTCAAGCATTCGAACGACTTGACTCATTGTTGGCCTCTTATCTGAATCTGGATCAAGACATCTTAAAGTAGTCAATAGAGCTCGTTTAAGGGCGGTTGTGGAAGGCCTTGTCTCGATTGTTGGATCGACTACTTCTTCCGAGCGTTTGCTGCCAACCATCATCTTGAGCCAGTCAACAAGATTCACCTGTATACACCAAATAAATGGCATATCATCACAACAATTACAATGGTTGATGAAGTTGCTGAAAACTATGGAGATCAATGTTTAAATACTCCTTTACTAATAATAACATTGGAAGAGCATACCTCGGGAGCAGGGCGACCATAATCCACAGGATCTCTTCCAGTGATGGCTTCCAGAAGCACAACACCGTAGCTGTATACATCACTCTTTTCATTCAGTAGACCACTATTTGCATACTCAGGAGCTACATATCTGTTGTGAGGAAGTTTAGTGATGACTAAAGGATATTCGACTAACACGAGGTGTAGAAAGAGAACAAGCTCATCCAAGATAGCTCTATAAATGTACTTACCCGAAGGTGCCCATAACTCTGGTTGTAATGTGACTCTTCCCTGCACCTAGCAACTTGGCCAGGCCAAAATCAGAAATTTTTGCATTGAAGTCATCATCTATCAATATGTTGCTTGACTTGATGTCACGATGCACCACCTTGGGCTCAATTGCCTCGTGTAAATATGCAAGACTACAAGTATAAAAACACATTTATAAGAGAACAAAAAAAAGTACTCCTTCCATCCCAATTCAAGTGTCTTACTTTCCTTTTTATCCCGTCCCAAAAAGAATGCATCTTTCTACATTTAGTAAGTTTTCCAATTCCAACATTCTACATGGATCATTAAGACCACAGGATTCAAAGGACCACACTTAAGACCACAAGATTCAAAAGTCTCCCTTTGGTTCCAAACTCCGTGCTCAGTCAAGCTAAGACACCTAAATTGGAACGGTGGGAGTATGAGATAGTAAATGCTAAGTTGAAGATAGAAGAAAACTCACGCTTTAGCAGTGCCAAGGAGAATCTTCATCCGTGCTTCCCATGTAAGATATCCGTGCTGTTGCATAGCTCCATGTAGCCACTGCTCTAAATTCCCATTGTTTACGCACTCATAAACCAGTAACCTGGATAAAACAAGGATCACCATACAAAGTGGCGTCTGAAGTGTTAATACTGAAAAACTATCTCCATTTATTGACACAAGATAAAATATGTCTCTTAGCAACATGAAGAAAAGAGTACCAGAAGCCTTTCTCCTTTCATGTTGTACTAAAGAAGGTAAGCCTAACATATTAGCCAAAACTAAAGAATATAATCCAACATCAGCCACGAGAGAGGATGGTGGAATATCGATTTTCCTGTTCCATAATATCGCATGAAAAACTTATCCTTTCCTTCCTTATTTCCTAAACTGGGAGATGAGGATTGAATCTCAAGTTTCAACTAAAAAGTGCAGTTACACTGCTAGATAGAACTCCCTCTGTTTCAATTTGTTTGTTTTACTTCCCTTTTTAATCCATTTAAAAAGAATGTCTCTTTTCCTTTTTGACAACTCTTCAATTTTTCAACTTCATACGTGGCATGTTTAAGACCACAAGATTAAAGGACATTTTGGTACATTCAATATCTTTAATTCAAGACCAGGAGATTCAGAAGTTCTTTTTACTTTATAGGTGCCAAGTAAAAACCAGACAAATAAATTGAAACAGAGGGAGTAAGTTACTACTGTCTATATGATGTAATGAAGAGAAACAAAAGAGTTTTGAAAAGTGTACCTGTGAGTTCCTTCAATACAGTAGCCCAAAAGTCTAACCAAATTCTTATGTCGGACATGACCGATGGCCTCAACTTCCACTTGAAATTCTTTCTCTGCTTGTCCTCTATAGATGAAGGATCCCATAAGTCAAATATTTTTATATATATGCAAGTGAGGAGCTAATTATTGAAGTAACAATATAAGACTATCAAAACTTACAAATTATTCAATAGCTTTTTAACAGCAACTTCAGTTCCGTTAATCAGCTGTCCCCGGTAAACAATGCCATAACCACCCTCTCCAATGATGTTATCCTTAGCAAACTTGTTGGTTGCAGTTTCAAGGTCCCTCAGAGTAAACCAATGGCCCCAACCTAGGTGAGAGAACTCAGGCAAACCAGAGAGAGGGGACGGGACATTCGCAGGATGTGAAGGATGATTTACTGTTCCGGCAACTCCCTTTTCCCCAGACTCAAATGTTCCGTCTTTGTCTAAATAATTAAATGAACCTGATTGACTATTAATGTCAAAATCTTTCATCTTGTCAATATTTGAATGTGCCAAAAGCTTATCGGAATCTTTCTCACAGTATGTGTCTTGAAATGCAAGGGGATTCCTATAGTGGCTCCCATAGTTGCTTGCTGAGTTTTGATCAACTCTTATTTCTTTGCACACAGAAGGAATTTTGCTTATGGGTAGTGTATCATGAGATTTTCTTGATTTTTTACGAGAAGAACAAAACGGCAGCAGCAAAAGAATTACCACAATAAAAAGTCCAACAAAGATGGCTAATAAAACCCACACCTTGAGATGAAATATATGAGTTTTCTTAGACAGTTCGAAATTAAGGTCAGATGCCATCTTATTGAAACCTGCAAAATCGAAGATATGAAAATCAAAAACCAAAAAAGAAGAAGAAAAACATAAAGGCAAACAGCTCCAAATTGAACTAGCATTCATGCATTTCAATCAACAATGCCTCAATTTCCAACATATTTGGTTCTATTTGGCCTATTTCGTTCATATACTAGTAAATAATTAGTCTTTTAAGGTAAACTCAAGATCTTCTCGACTAGAGGTTCTCAAAATATCACACTTATTCCTATACTAACAACCAGACTAATATACAAAGCCCTTTAATTGTAACAACAACCAGTCTTTAATCACAAGTAGTTGGCATTGCCTATCATGTATCTTATACTCCCTCCGTTACAATTTCTTTGATCTAATTTCATTTGTAGTTCATTTAAAAAAGAATGACCCTTTCCTTTTTTAGCAACTCTTTAATTTCAAGTTTCCACGCAACATGTTTAAGACCACTAAATTAAAGGGCATTTTGATACATTTGACATATTTTTAATTTAAAACCACAAGATTCAAAAGTCTTCTTTACTTTTTTAAGCTCCGTGCCAAGTCAAAATAGGTCAAACAAATAGAAACGGAGGGAGTATTTGTTCATCTAAAAAGGAAACTTTAACTACCCTAATGTATGTGTAGAACTTCATTAACAGGCAGTAAATCAGGAGACGATCAAAGTTTCAGACACACCAGCAGAGGAAATGCATTCAATAAATAGATCTCCATTTAATTATCCGATAACTACCTAACTCGTAGGAAGTAAATAAGAGGAGGGCACGAGGTCAATCAATCAACTATCTTTGAATCCAAAATTATTTGAAAGCTGCTATATGTATCCACTGTATCAATTCCAGTACATAGAGGATTCTCACTGTAGTTTATGTTTACACTGACATCAATATGCCACATCGGGTTTTACAAGCTCGGACAAAGGCAGAGTTATGAGAGAAAAAGAGAATGATATTAATTCCATTTAGGAAGCAGAAAGAAATATTATACTTGACTGAATAGGAAATAAGACCAACTTCAGGAAAAGATTCAAACTTCCAATGCTAAATCAAGTGTTCAAGCTCACAGAAACACATAAATGTACAAAAGATTCAAACTTTCAATGCCAAATTAAATGCTAAAGCTCACATAAACAGATAAAATGTACAAAAGATTCAAACTTCCAATGCTAAATCAACTGTTCAAACTCACAGAATCACACAAAATGTACAAAAGACTCAAACTTCCAATGCTAAGACACAAAAATGTTCAAAGATTCAATCTTTACACTACAATCAATATACCACAACGGTAGGTAAGGATTATTACAATAAATGCATGCAGATTATATAGTTCTTCAATGTAGAAGAAATCAAAGTCAAAGATTCAAACTTTCAATGCTAAATCAAGTGTTCAAGCTCACAAAATCACATTAAATGTACAAAAGATTCAAACTTTCAATGCTAAATCAAGTGTTCAACCTCACAAAATCACATTAAATGTAATAAAGATTCAATCTTTCAATGCTAAATCAAGTATTCAAGCTCAAGCAACACATTAAATGTACAAAAGATTCAATCTTTACCTATTTATGATGAGATCCCACAAGTAGAAGTAAGCCTCTACCAACACTACACACAACCTCTACTCACTACAATGAAGAAAAATCCAAACCCCAGATCTCTTATACTCCTAAAATCTCCAAACCCCATTTGGGAAATGAAGCCATTTTCAAATCAAGAATCCCATTTCTCAAATATGCAAAAATACCAAGAAAACAAAAAAGAGGGACCCTTTTAGAAATGGGAAAATAGACCTTCCTTAATTGAAGCATATGCCAAAAGGAAACCTTCCTTTGAAGTAAAAGGCAAAGAGAAATCTCAACAAAGAAAACATGAAATCTTGGGATGGAAATGTGGGGTTATTATCAGTGTTTGGTAATGCTTTGCTATACAGTAAAATAGAAGCATGAAAAAAGAAAAGTTTGCTTTTTGGCTCAAAATGATTTTGAAATTGTCTACTAATGAATGTGATTGATTATCAAGAATCTCTCAAATAAATACTGGAGACAAAGTAATTGGAGTACCAGACTTACAGTGCTCTGCAAATGCAGCTTCCTGTCTCTTGGGATAGTATATATATTAGTAGTATTATAATGGTTCTCCGTCTCAATTTACGTGACATCGTTACTTTCGAAATTTATGGTCTAAAACAGAAAAATTAAATAATTTATGTTGTTATAAATCATATCTTTCCAATCTAAGTCTCTTATTTTCTTTTATGGTTTATCTAATTTTACATACAAAATGACAGGTTTAAGATCATAAGATTTAAATTTAATTTTATTAATTTTATTTTTAAAATTTTATATCGGATTAAACTAAGATACTTAAATTGGGACGGGAAGAGAGTATAATGAATAATTGGCTAGTGAGTCAAACATAAAATAAAGTTGATGTAGTTACAAATATTATTAAGAAAAGAAAAGAGGGTTAGTGGGTATTAATAATTAAAATTAGATGTAATGAAGAGTGGAAAGGGACAGGCAATGATGCAATTTGAATGAAATTTATTGAGACACATTAGTATTATAATGATAATAATAATATAATTGCACTTTTGATCCCTCAAAATAGTGTTGAATTATGACTTTGGTCTTTATAATATTAAACTTAAGTCCATTTAATCTTCAACTAATTGAAATATGTGGTTCTTCCTTTTATATAAGAATTATAATTATAATATATGTCATATCTAGAGTAGTTGTAGAATTAAATCATCCATAAATAAAGAGTAATCAGATAATTTAATATAATATATAGATAATTACTACAATAGTTTAGCATTTAATAATTTGTTAACTTTGAAAAGATTCATAATAACTAATTTTTGAATGAATTCATCTTATGTTCGTTGGAATAAAATTGTTGATAAATTATTTTCGAATTGTATGTAATTTTTATCATGTATGCAAACAATGAACTGACAACATCACCGCAATCCAAACATTTCATCTGAACATTCAATTGATAGGAGCGAGTGATATACAAAAGATTAGGATATAATCAACACAACCTAATGGCTCACCCTTACTAGAAGTTCCTCGTTAAAGACTAATAATAAGTCTCGAAATAACTTATTTTCCGACCAAATTGCCCCTTATAGTTAATGTCCTTATAAGTAGGTAGTACTATAAACAATGGACACACCCAGGCCTTCTCAACTGTCAATCTCTTTGATTTCTTAAAAAAATCATGAAAATTGTGAATTTCCATATTTGCATTTATTAATTATTTTGATTGTTTAAATGTGGGGTTAGCAAGTCAAAAAAGAAAAAATAAATAAGACTTGGACGGTTGTTGAATGTCTTTTTAGAAAAAATATTATATGTCGACCAAATTTAATATTTTGACGGTGGCAATACCAATCTATTTTATGACTATTATTTAAAACTAAAGTATTTGTCAATTTATAAATTATAAAATTATGATAAAATAAATTAACAAATTCTCATATCGTGTTTATTTATATTTGTTGTAGAAATAATTGTCTATTCAATGGCGAAAGTATTATGTTGAACTAACACTCACTACATCAAAGATCTTTAGCGATAATTAATTAATGATAATAGCTCAATAGTCCCTAAATATGTATTTTTAACGACAATTATCACTCTTTGTATATGTCCATAAAGCCTTTAGCGACACTGAATCTGATGACACTTAACTAATGCCGGTCAAGACTTTAGCACTCTTTATTAATGTGTCTATTTATTGCCACTTAAAGTTATTTTTGTTGTAGTGACCAACACTGACACTGAAAAACGAAAGATAAGAAAGTGGTCAGATTAGATTTATGTCAATAATAAGTTAAGAAAAATACACGCGCATGAATAGACAACGAATAACACTTCAAGAAATTTAACAAATTATTCGCAATTACTATCACAAGAAAATCTAATGGTCACAAATGAATACTGTAGTGGTTGTTACTAATGTATTGTACACATAAAATCTGATTATGTCCCATGGAAGGTGATGACTGTCCCCATAACCCACTCTTTGGGTGAAGTCAGATAGGATTCAGATGATTTATTCGGATCACCTTCAATAAAAAAGAATACAATATTATTTATATATGATTAAAATTATTTTTGATATATATTATAGATATTGAATTTTAATTGATTTCACTCATTTTGTGTTTTTAATAAAAATTCTAATTCCGTCGCTGCTACTCGATATGTCTTAGAAATATCATATATATTGGAGATCTCTATATATTAATGGTTTGTTGTGAAGATAAGCTTTTTAGGTATTGATTTGGTAGGTGGGAGTCATAAAAATATAATGTACCATTCGTGTTGTGGGTCACCAATGTACATTTCTATGAAGGTTGCAATTATTATTAATAATAATATTTATGTATATTTTATAAGATTAATAAGGACGAATTTAAAATTTGTGAACAGTTTCAACGATTTCTTGCTTGTCACCAAACTTACAACTTATTTATGATATTAGGTACGACATGAATAACATCATATTTAGTATAATTTCATGAGTAGATCTGAAAAGAGTCGGATATATACATATTTTATATTTATCTTTGTGAAATAAAGGGTTGTTTTCGATAGATCCGTGACTCAAAAGAAAAATTTGTGAAACAAATTTACAAGATTAATATGATAACAAAACAATAACATACAAAGTAAATTAAGCAGCATGTAGTAATACGCAATAAAGAATAAGTGATAACATGACTACTAAATAATAACTCCCGACCTCTTCTCACACATAGTGTGTCGCCCTCAGTTACTTACTATTCCTATTCTCGATCTTGCTCCAAACTTTTCTATATAGGGTTATGTTCGCAGTAAACTAAAGTTATGAACTTATGACATGTCTTATCTAATTACCCAACCCCAAATCCCTACGTCTCTAACCCCAATTATTTCTCGAATGTACCTCTATCTTTTTTGACTCCTGAAGTTAACCTCTCGCACCTTCTTATCGGCGCCCATGTTCCAAACTATATTCTGTTTTTCAAAGATGTACAATTTCTACAGTGTGTAGAATTGAGAATTTTCTTGAATATAAGACTATAGTCTTAAATGTGTTATTTGGTGTCTATTTCATTTTCGACCAGGCAGGAAAAAGTACGTAGCCGCAAAATTTGAACACTTACTAGTCTAATATTATGTGTCAATAATTAATAATTGTGTTTCAGTCGCGAACAAGTTGAAATTAGTCATACGAACAAAAAATACTTATATATAGTTTGTATCGTTTCATTTAATAATCTTATGTTTGTTCAATATTCTTCAAAGCAAGTGTTTATAACGTACACTAGAAATTTTTTACTATATTTTATACTGATATAAAATTTTTGATAAGACTAAAACATTTTTAAAAATATAGAACCTAACGTAAATATACTAACATGAAACTAAACCCTTGTTAATTTGATTGATTATATACATTTGTTTCTTTCATGATGGTTCTTAATAGGTTTACAACAAAAACTAATGTAAGTTAAGACGATTTTATCACTTTTAACCATTATAAGTTATCTTAACAAACTGATGCATTTGGAGTTTAATTTGGAGATCGACTTCAGACATGACTGAATTTTCACAAGCAATTTTTTCCAATTTTATCATCTATTATTTGCACTTTCTATTGATTGTGACAGTTTTTTTAAAATCTTGTCTAATTTTATATAACCGCGATGAATATACCTCCTAATATATTTATAAATATTTTAATATTCTACCTACACCTACTGATTATGTTTTATATTCATCACTTATATATTATGTAATATTCTTCATTATGAGATGGGTTTTGTTGACTAATGAAAAGACAAGGGACCCAATAACTTAGCTATCAATTAACCATATTTGATAACATACCATTAGCTTTATTAATTTTATAGTATTAACATTATTAATTTTATTTTGTCCTTTTTCATTAGGATTAGACCAAATTCAACCCAATAACTTAGCTATCAATTAACCATATTTGATAACATACCATTAGCATTATTAATTTTATAGTATTAACATTATTAATTTTATTTTGTCCTTTTTCATTAGGATTAGACCAAATTCAACCACATAAACATAATTAAACAACCAATCATGTGCTCAATTGCTACTTTCAAGATAAGAGATCCTATCCATCCTATATCGCGATCTTTGATAGTCTAACTAAATAAATTTTAGCAACAATTTTCGAGTAATCCCTCCAAATATTTTAAATTTTGAAAGCAAAAGCTAGCATAGGAGTATAATTGTAATGACCCGAAAAGTCATTTTTAGAAATTTTTACAAAAATTATCGTTTTACCCATCTCGGTAGTTGCCCTAAGTCACTTTTGATCAGTTTGTGAAGTTGGTTGGGAATTTTAAACTATTTGTTTAACTACGATTATTTAGTTGATGGATATTTGTTAAATAATTAATTTATTTAGTTGGGGATTAATGGGTCAAGTCCATAATTTACTTGGTACCCTTTATCACTTGACCCATGTATATAAATAAAATTAGTGAGATTTAACCTTTTTAATTATTTTAGAAAAGAAAAATAAAGAGAATAGGGAGAAACCCTAAGCGACATCAATGAGCAGCGAGTGCTCTTCCTTCACGTAAGTATTTTGGCTGAGATTTTATGATTGTTGTTTTATTCATAATTTCTAGTGAAAGAGTTTACGCTAAATTGTCCCATTAGTTAACTAATATTTTCCACTAATAATAACATGCATGTGGCGTCAGTGCGACAGTCTTCTTAATGGTCGAAGGAAAAAGAGTGAACACTTAATTGTGTATGCTATTAGAAGGGGACAAAATGTGAGTGGCAAGTTATTATATATTGACACCAATTGATGAACGAATATAGGTTTGACATTTCTATTGGCTTATGTCGTGTTTTAATGATTATTACTGCAATGTTGGTTGTGAAAGAAAGTAAGAAGATTGAATAGGAAAAGTTGAACCAAAG